GCCTATGAGTTCCGTAGCCCATGGCAATCTGGTATATTCTTCCCGCACCACAGAGTGAGCAAATGGGTTGTTTCGTTCAAGCAATTGCAAATCGATTCAAATTAGATGAAGTAAACCACCGCACAGCGCGATGCTCACAGGCGTCGCACACCGTGGCACTCCGATGATTTTCAGCGGTAATCTTCCTTGTGATAAAGAGAGAGAATGTATGGATGTTGTGTATAGATGCTATGCGTCGTCTGTGGAGGAGAGAAATCGCGGCAGTGGTTCGAGGTTAGGCTGCCAACAGAGAGGGAGGGCGTCGTCGGTGAGGGTGGTAGAGAGAGTCGTCGCGAGGGTGGGTAGAGAGAGAGAGTAGAAGAGGAAGGAAAATGGAAATGATTTTTGTGATGAAATTGATTAGGGTTTGTGAGGGTGGGTATGTAAATTAAATTAGTTTTATAATATTATTATTACTATTAAAATTTTTAATTATAATCTAAATTTTGAAAAAATTAACATTGCATCTAATTTTTGAATTTTGAATTTGAAAGATAGGGATGTGTGTGATTTCCACTTATCCATATATCTATAACAAAGTCAGGCTGAATTGGCATACTCTAACCTAATTCAAGAGTGACTAATTTAGAACAAATTATGCAATATACACTTAGCCTATGTTGACTCGTGTTTTTAAATTATTTATAAATACTCAAATCACTTTTTATTAACACATTCGAAGGACATATAAACCATATCTACTTGTTCATCACATTTTTATTTATTTATAATTTAAATTGTTTATAAACACTTTTTATAAATGTTTAATACTTTTCATAATCTTTTTAGAGATAATCATATTGATCTTGTTAAGTCTAAATTTGTAATTGGCATTTTTCTAATTCAAAATAAGATTTATTTAGTCCAAGTTAAACTCAAAATAATTTGGGGTTGATAAAGTGCTAAAAGATGTTCAATATATACAAGAAGTTCAAGATTCGGATTTCAAGAAGTTGAATGAAGAAAGGAATCTTTTGGCGCTAGCATACAGTGGTAGACCTAGGATTTCGAGTCAGCACGGGCGGCCGTGGATCGTGGACTGTTGTGTAATAAAATATTAAGAGCTCGTTTAATGTCCATTTTTTACAAAAATAAAAAAAAAATGCATTTTGGAATAGTGATTTAAATTAGAATGTGTGATTAAAAATAAGAAAAAATTTTGAATTTGTATTTAATATTATATTATTGAAAAATTTGCGGTTGAAAGAAGAGAGGAAAACGTATTTTGAAAAAAAAGAATTAAACAAGGTTTAAAATTTAAATATAACAATTATTTTGTTCAAACTAAACATATATAATTTTGTTGTAAAAATTAGAAATATTCACCAAATAATATTGTGGCTAAGTTTTGTATAATTCAAAGGAAGGGAATGTATT